GGGACCTTGTAGGTCATCTAGTCCCACCCACCCCCGCCCAAGCAGGAGACCCTATACCATTTCTGACAGATGGCAGTCCAGTCTCCTTTTGAAAGCTTCCAGTGATGAAGCTCCCACAATTTCTGAAGGCAAGCTGTTCGATTGATTGATTGATTGATGACCGGAATTCAAAGTTTCAATGGCTGCTCTCCAACCTGTAGTCATGTGATCACACTTTGGGCATTCAGCAACCAACTCACTTTATGGCCTGTGATCACATGACTCTGATTCCCGACGAATCACCGCATTTAGATTGAGCCGAGGTGGCGCAGTGGTTAGAGTGCAGTACTGCAGGCCACTTCAGCTGACTGCTAACTGCAATTCGGCGGTTCAAATCTCACCGGCTCAGGGTTGACTCAGCCTTCCATCCTTCCGAGGTGGGTAAAATGAGGACCCAGACTGTGGGGGCAATAATGCTGACTCTGTAAACTGCTTAGAGAGGGCTGAAAGCCCTATGAAGCGGTATATAAGTTGAACTGCTATTGCTATTGCGATATCATCCCTAGTATCCTCAAAAAGTTATTCAATATATTCCTTCCATCTTTTTAGTTTTTCATCCTCTTCCAAGATGATTTTCCTCTCTTTGTCAACTAAGTTGTTGGTTTTCTTTTTGTAGACACCTGCTGCTTCTTTCACTTTTTTGTGTAAGTTGAAGTTATCATGAATACCTTCTGTCTCTTCTATTTCTTTGCATCATTTTGCAAACCACTTTTCTTTTGCCAGTCGAATTTTTCTTTTATTGTTTTCTGCAATTCATTGTATTTTTCTTTATTTTTATAAGAGCGTCTTTCATCCATGATATGAAGAATTTCATCCATCATCCACTGTGGTATCTCTCTCTTAGCTTTGAGTTTGTTACTACTACTATTGCATTTTTACATTTATTCCAATTCACTTCTAGATCTTCATTGTTTAGTTTGTTGGTTTCTCTTAAATGCATTTCTAGTTCTTATCTTATCTCCATGTTTAATAATGAAGTCATTGCCAATTCTTGGTTTAGGATAATTTGGTTTCTCTGTTTTATATTACATAATACAATTTGAACTTACTCCTTTTCCCCAAGTTCTCCTTTTACATAGAGATATGGATCAGTACCTGACAATAAAGATGTTAAATTATGTTGACATTATGTTGACTTAAAACATGAACTTCGAGTTATGTGTTTGTGCTTCAATTATGCTGTCCCAATTAGATGTGTCACATTTTAAATTCAACCAAGGTATCTTTTGTTTCTTTCACCTAAACCTTCCAAAAGATCCATCTTGCCTAATTAATAAACTCACCTCACATATACAGACAAGGACCAACCTAGTTTCCCCCAAATCACCAACCAATCAGAATTTCCTGCCATGCAGCTCTCAATTTCTATAAAGCTTTGCTGTTCAAGGTTATTCTTTCTTGTAAAACAGGCACCCAATGATCATTACAGAAAACATGGCTCTTGTCTTTGGGTTGTGTTATACAGATTTCTTCAATATAAGAAAGTAATAGTAGATTGTGTGTTATACTCTGTGCAAGCTGTGCAAATATCCAGCAATTCCACTCTCTCTCTGCAAGCATCTACAAAATATCCTTTATTATTTCCATACAGCAGTAGTCAGTGTCGTACAGCTTATTGTATACACAATAGGGATAGCAATAAATCTAGACTTTCAAAAACTAAACCCTGTATTCAGTAGCCAGCTAATAGCATAGGTTTTACAGACTTAATATGGGTTCATAGTTAGTTTTATTGCAAACAAAAAAGCAGTGTTGATACAGACAAAATCTGCCTACAGCACGTCTTAGAAGTTAAGCCACACATATATGTCTGTCTGTCTGTCTGCCTGCCTGCCTGCCTGCCTGCGTGCCTGCTTGCTTCAAGATTTAAATTGTATGTATTTTCTCCCTTGCTTCCAATTAAATGGACTTGATTTTTTTTCCCATCCTTGAGAGCCAGAGTCATTTGGTCTAATGTCTCTATCTGTCCTGAGAATATTTCTTCCATGCCTTGCCACTTCATCCTTTACATTGGGAAAGGTTTCTACCTGACCATCTGCATTTTTTGGCACTTCCTCCATGATTGCCAGGCTCTCATTCAAACAATCTAATTGAACAGCTATGGGGAATGCAGCCACTCTGGGAAGGTTATTCCATAGCATGCTCACCCCAATAAACAGTCATTTTCTTCAGTAGCACATAGACCCAGGCAGCCACTAATCACTCAACTAAACAATTATTGTTCTGGGTTATGGTGCAATAATGTTTACTGGCAAGATGTCAATCAAGCAAAATGCAAGCTGCCAGAGAACATGGAACTGGGAAGCCTGATAGTGTACTCTAATAGCTATGATGAGCTTTTAGAGTGAAATATCTATCCTGTGTGTGCTTATTTGGGAAGAAGCATCCTAGTCATCCCATGAATCTTGCCATTTTAT